AGAGAGAGAGAGAGAGAGAGAGAGAGATTAGATAGACAGACAGGTAAATGGAGATAGAGAGATTAAAGAAAGAGATAGATAGATGATATGATAGATATTAGATGATAGAAAAAGATAGGCAATGGATGGACGGACAGACAGACAGACAGAATTCAGGCATTATACATACTTGCACACCCGTTTTCAGATGTTGCAACTGGTTTTTGTTAGAGAGTGCTATCTTTCAACCTTTCTAAGTATCTCATCGACATACTTTTATCGCTTTTTATTCTACACAGTAAAAATTTAGGGCGTATATAAAAGAACAGAACGAGAGCCAACTTTTAAAAATGTTTTTATTCTTTTCATTGAATTTATATGCTACCCATCTCCCGCTCCAACGTGACTCTGGGAGGCTCACAAAACGATAAAATCCCCGCAACCTTTTTCGATTTTGGTTTCCCCGTAAAAACAACCAATTTTCTATCCTCCTAATGATTGCAGAAGGAACGTGGTTTTCATATTTCAGCCTAATCCAACCTGTAAACGAATTTCTAGACTCCGAGCAAGCTTTGTTCCAGAAGGTCAATTTCTATCAAGGCAACTACGAACAAAAACTTTTTATTTTCCTTCTTTGTATTTCTGCGGGGATCTGCTCAGCTGGGCAGTTTCAGTGTAAATACAAGGAGGCTCTAATGCATTTATACAGCTCCCTCTTCCTCCCTGCCAAAACTAAATTAGCCTTCTTGCCAGACACGGACAGTCTGTGCAGCCACAAAGAGAGTCCGAATTTCTGCAACACCCTCAACCTGAGGGACCCAAGAAAGGGAGAGAACAGAAGAAGAATCGAGCTGGGAGGGTCCTTAGAGGTCTTCTAGTCCAGCCCACTGCTCCAGCAGGAGAGACCCTATACCATTCCAGACAAATGGCTGTCCGGTGTCTTCTTGAAAGCTTCCGGTGAAGGGGCACCCAGAACTTCTCTTTATTTTTAAAGAAATTTTTATGTTTTATGAGACATATACAGACAAAACATAAAACCAAGCTTTCAATTATATACATATAAGCACCCGCAACTTCTGAAGTCAGGCCTTTCCACGGATGAATGAACAGTATAACAGAGTTGGAAGGGACACCATGGAGGTCTTCTAGCCCAACCCCCTGTTCAGGCAGGAGACCCTATACCATTTCAGACAGGTGGCTGGCCAGGCTCTTCTTAAAAACAACCAGTGATGGAGCTCCCACAGCTTCTGAAGGCAACTTCTGTTCTGCTGGTTCATTGTCTTCCTGGTGAGGAAGTTTCTCCTTAATCCAAGGTTGCTTCTTCCACCTGTTGCTCCTTGTTCTAGCCTCAGGTCCTTTGGAGAACACCTTGACTCCCCCTTCTTTGTGGAAGCCCCTCAAATCAGGGGTCTCCAACCTTGGCAACTTTAAGCCTGGAGGACTTCAACTCCCAGAATTCCCCAGCCAGCAAAGCTGGTTGGAGAATTCTGGGAGTTGAAGTCCACCAGTTTTAAAGTTGGCGAGTTTGCGGACCCCTGTGATAGAGAGAGAGAGAGAGAGAGAGAGAGAGAGAGAGAGATGTAGATGTAGATGTAGATGTAGATGTAGATATAGATATAAATATAGATATGGATAGATAGATGATAGATATTTAGATGATAAATAGATATGGATGGATGAATATATACTGCAGATAGATGATAGATAGATAGATAGAGATATGGATAGATAGATGATATGTAGATGATAGATAGATATGGATAGATAGATATGTGATTATAGATTAGATATAGATATATAGAAATAGATATATAGATATAGATATATATCTGGCTGGGGAATTCTGGGAGTTGAAGTCCTCCAGGCTTAAAGTAGCCAAGGTTGGAGACCCCTGCCTCAAATATTGGAAGACTGCTATCAGGCCCCCCTCATCCTTTTCCTTAGACTAGACATACCCAGTTCAGCTCAGGGATGGACTAGAATCCCTGGAGCTCTCGGAGCTTGGTGTTTGGGGAATTCTGGGAGTTGAAGTCCCACAGGCATACAGATATACGGATTAACAGAGTTGGTTGGGACCTTGTAGGTCATCTAGTCCAGGGGTCTCCAACCTTGGCAACTTTCAGGCTTGTGGGCTTCAACTCCCTGGGATTTGAAGTCCACAAATCTGAAAGTTGCCAAGGTTGGAGACCCCCGATCTAGTCCAAACCCCCCTCCCCACCCATGCAGAAGACCCTACACCGTTTCTGACGGATGGCAGTCCAGTCTCTTCTTGAAAGCTTCCGGTGATGAAGCTCCCACAACTTCTGAGGGCAATTTCTGTTCCGTGGGTTGGTTTTATTTATTTATTTCTAGTTAGTTAGTTAGTTTGTCCAGCATGTATGGGAAAACAAGTGTAAGTGTGAGCATAACATATAAACATATAAGTATAAACAGGGATAAGTAGATACATGATAAATGAGTACAAATAAAAGGGGACAGTAGGACAGGGATGGTAGGCACGCCGGTGCGCTTATGCACGCCCCCTTTAAGGACCACTTAGGAATGGGGTGAGGTCCACGGTAGACAGTTTGGGGTCCAAGTTTTGGGGGTTTGAGGATGTAACGACAGAGTCAGGGAGTGAGGTCCAGGCATTGACTCCTCTGTTGCTCAAGTCGTATTTTCTGCAATCGAGTTTGGAGCAGTTTACTTTGAGTTTGTTTCTCCAACCATACGGCCTCCCCCAATAGGAAGTCCCAGCATGTTTTATAGGCGTGAAATGAAATTAAGCCCCTCCCCCCAAATTAAGGCCGATATTAAAACATGCGAAATGGGGGGGGATGGCGGGGGGGCTTGCCGTTAGGAAGTACTTTCGTTGCACACCCGGATATGGTGCTGCCTGTGTTGACCCCGATACCAAATGCCCCACCAACGCCGAGGTCAACATCCAAGCCGTCGCTGCCTGCCCGTCCGAAGATGCAAGGGGGGAGGGAATTAAGTCACCCCCGAAAGACGGCCTAGCCATTTTGGGGTGGCTCAAAAAAAATATAAGACCCGGCCTTATTATATGAGAAACACGGTATTGTTTGCCCATGTTATTATTGTGGCTGAGGCTGAAGAAGCCGTTGACAGGTAGGACATTTTAGCAGACAATTTTGTGTACAAAGCTTTAGATCAGACGGTAGGTGACGTAGTTCTAGGTTGTCCAGATCCAAAATTTCAAGCAGAAATTCTCTCCTTAAAGGTCTTTAAAAGAGGGCTGTGAAAATATCTACAGACACCACACATCCCGGACTTAAACTGTTTCAACTCCTTCCCTCAAAACGACGCTATGGAGCACTGCACACCAGAACAATTAGAAACAAGGACAGTTTTTCCCAAAAGCCATCACTCTGCTAAACAAATAATTGCCTCAACACTGTTCAACTATTTACAAAGTCTGCACTACTATTACTATTAAACTTCTCATCACTCCGGATCACCCATCCCCTCCCACTTGTGACTGTAGGACTGTAATTTTGTCTCTTGTATCCTTACGATTTATATGGACTTTTCCTGGTATGATTTGATGGCTTATTGTACCCTATGACTATCATTAAGTGTTATACCTGATAATTCTTGACTCTTGACAAATGTATCTTTTCTTTTTATGTGCACTGAGAGCATTTGCAAATTCCTCGTGTGTCCAGTCACACTTGGCCAGGAAAGAATTCTAAGTCTTCTAAGTCTAGTTGCCAAGGTTGCCCCCCCCGCCTGCTCTTAACGGATGCACCGGGACCTCTGACCGCATTTTTCTTCCTCTCTTTTGCTTCCTTGAACAGTCAAACCAGATCCCCCCGAAAATGTGATTGCCAAACCGATCCCCAACAACGCCCGGAGGCTGCTGGTGACGTGGCAGTACCCTTCCTCCTGGCCGGATCCGGATTCCTTCCCCCTCAAGTTCTTCTTGAGGTACCGACCGCTCATTATCGACCAGTGGCAGCACGTGAGTGACATCCCCGCCCCAGTTTTTTGGGGGGAGGGGCGGGCAAAGAGGCCTAGACTTGGAAGAATGCAGGTGGGCCGTTGGCTAGCGCCACGGGGCATCTTGGTGGGTGTTCAGTGGTGGGAGGGGTCTTCCTACTGATTAAAATGCTTTTAAAAAGAGTGTCCAGGTTCATTCGGCTGAACGGTGGGGTGGCCTAGAGGTGAAGGTCTGGCCTCACAATCAGGAGGCGGTGAGTTTGATCCTGAGTAGAGGCAGATATTTCTCCCTCTGGGCACAGTGAGAATGTATCTGCTGAACAAAACTCTGCCCTGGCGACAGGAAGGATATCCGGCCAGTAAAACACTCGGCTCCATTCAGTGGCCCAGACTCCGCCCCAATGCAAGGGATTATGGGGGGTCATTCGAAGAAGATGATCCAGGTTCATCTGGCTGGCATGTTGCGTATTACTTCAGATTACAACCATCCATTTAGTGACCATTCGAAGGTACAACAGCCCTGAAAAAAAGGGACTTATGGCCGTTTTTGACGTGACCTTTGCAGCACCCCCGTGGTCACATGATCCAAATTCAGGCGCTTAGCAGCTGACTCCTGTTTACGGTGGTCGCAGTGTCCCAGGGGTCATGGGATCCTCTTTTGCGATCCTCCAACAAGCCGTGGGGAAGCCAGATTCGTTGAATGACCATGGGATTCCCTTAACAATTGCAGTTAACAAGGGTGGCAAGGAAGGCCGTAGAATGGAACAAAACTCGTTTATAACAACCGCCCCGCTTAGCAACAGAAATTTTGGGCTCAATAGTGGATGTAAGTCAAGGACAACCTGTAATGGCTGTGCGGATGAGCTGGAGAAACCTTTTTTTTCTGGAGAGGCCCAACAGGGACTCTCTTCCTGCTTGCTGGTTTCCAGTTGGGTCACTCTGGGGCGAAGGAGGAAGTTCTGGGCTTCACTCTGGTTCTTCTTGGGCTTTGAAGTGTCTCCAGGTTGTGTGTGTGTGTGTGTGTGTGTGTATACAGAACAGAACAGAACAGAAATGGAAGGAATCCAAAACTGCTTTTTTTCCAAGAGGCAACCGGACTTTCTTGATTTTTCTTTGAAGACGTTTCGCTTCTCATCCAAGAAGCTTCTTCAGCTCTGACTGGACAATGGGGAATGGAAGAATTTATACTCCTTGCAGGCAGCTGGTCATTTGCTTTCTTATTTAAAGAATCGTTGAGGACACTTGGAGGTTTGTCTGTGTGCTCAGGGTCACCTGAGTGGTGCAAATCGGTGCGGAGCCTCCTTGGAACTGCCGAAAGGCGCTGCGTTGTAGTCACACCCATTTGCACCACTCTGGTGACCCTGAGCACACAGACAAACCTCCAAGTGGCCTCAGCGATCCTCTAAAAAGGATGCAAATGACCAGCTGGCTGCAAGGAATATCAATCCTTCCCTTCCCTGTGATGCTGTCAGAGCTGAAGAAGCTCCTTGGATGAGAAGCGAAATGACTTCCAAAGGAAAAAAAAATCAAGAAAGTCCAGGTGCTTCTTGAAAAAGCACCTTTGGGACGACCGTGAAGTCAACTCGTAAAAGTGTTCCTTTACGTGTGTCAGAGTTGGCACCACTGGGATAATGCCGACGTGTTGCTCCTAATAAATCTTTGGAATTCTTTTGAAGCTTGGCTCGAGGCTCATGATTTCATTAGGGCGATCGTTGGAACCCCGACACATGACTTGGATGACGGAGAATCTCCCTAGACCAGGTGTCCAACGCTTCTTATTCTGGTAACTAGTCAGTCGAAGGGCTTGCCTCTAGAAGTTGCGGGTGCTCCATCCCTGGAGGCTTTCAAGAAGAGACCGGACAGCCCCTTGTCTGAAAGGGTTCAGGGTCTCCTGCCTCAACGGTGGGTGGGACTAGATGACCTCCAAGGCCCCTTCCCGGTCGTTTACTCTGTAATTCTGCCCACTAAGGCATCGGCCAGTGAAATCCCCATTAGCTGGCGCTTTTCTCAAACTGGGTCCCCATCGCTTCCATTCCACAGTCCAGGTTTGTTTGTGCATTGGGTGGATGGTGGAGTGGTCGTCCCCCCCCCCCCCCCCCCCGCTCCCAATGCTTCTTCAGAGCCCCCAAACCCAGGGCATTGGACACCCCCCCCCCAAGGAGGTAGGTTGGCTGCTGGCTTCCGTGACTCCCTCGGGGTGAGGAAGGAGGCTGCTCAGCCTTCGCTTCTGCCTCCCAATTTCCCTTCTTCCCCCAGCAGCCTCTCCTGTTCTGTCTCCTCAAACACCCGGCATTAAATATTTAGGGCATCTTCCCCCCCACCCCACCCCCCCTCCCGGCTTTTAACTTTGTAATTCAAGCCAGATTGCTCTGGCTTCCTCCTCCTGCTCCCCTAGCTGAGGGCCTTCCTAATGCACTCCGATGTTGGCTTTAATGGATTACCTAGGATGTAACCGGATACTTTGGACTAATGGATCCCTAATAGCCTGTTTCTATTTTGCAGGCTCCTTTGGTTAACTCAGCCCCCTCTGCCCACTGCCCAACACCCCCACCCCCCCATCTGTGTATCCTGGCTCCCACCCATGTTGCCAAGCATGCAGCCGTTAAGCCCCACCCCCTTCGAGACCCCCACTCACCTGCCACTGTCCGGGGAGAGAAAACAATGGAGCCACCCCTCACGCAGAGGTTACGGAATAGCTTCTGCGGGACAAGGGCCAGATCCCTCATGAGAAAAATCCACTTTGCTAAAGGTGAAAGAAATGTGACAGAGGAACAGGTACCTGCCAGGGCAGAGGTGGGCAACAATGGCCCTTTTATGACTTGTGGACTTCAACTCCCAAAATTCAAGAGCTAGCATGGCTTGCTCAGGAATTCTGGGAGTTGAAGTCCATAATTCATAAAAGGGCCGTAGTTGCCCACCCCTGTGCCAGGGGGTTCAAGTAGAAGGTGGACATCCACAGCTGAAGAAGTCCGATCCAATAAAGGAGAATATCTGTAGCTCGGGGGCTGAACTCAGGGGTCTTTGGTGCTCTCTGAGCTTGGCTGTTTTCTGGCAGACATTTCCTGACCCAGCTAGGTAACATCGTCAATGCTAGAGAGGAAAGGGGTTAGCGGAGAGGAGGAGGAGGAGG